TGCCCCTGGCTCCTGTCATCTTTGACAGGAACCAAGGACCGATAAATACTTACTAATTTTCTAAATATTTTTTGGGGACCTGCGGGCTGGACAGAATGGCCTAGCGGGCTGAATCCAGCCTGTGGGCTGTATTTTGCCCACCCCTGCCATAAGGGTATACAATATTGAATTCTGGTGGATAGTGTTGATATTACGCATCTATGCAAAGCAATACTTTTAAAAATGTCCTTGCCTAATGCCTTAAAAAACCTCACAATGGTGCCTACAATTTACAGTATTTATTAGTTAGAAATTTAGGGTTGATTCAGTAAAGGAATTAAGTACCTAAAGCAGAACTTACGTAGACTTGAAGCCCAAGTCAGATACCATGATCCAAAAGCCCTTTGTTCAGCTTCTAACTCTGAATGTGCCTAAACTCATCAGGTGACTTGGAAGTTCTCCAGGCACCTAAAGTTGTCATTCTGTGCAGATCCAGAACCCCTTAGTCTGCAAGGCTCAGTGCCTGTCTTTATCTTATGCCTGTCTGGGACCCAGAAGGACCCAGACAGTGCTTCCTTACACCTAATGGGCCTTATTCATTAGACATTTTCAGAATGCACCCAGTATGTAGAGGATTCGTCTTTTTGAAAAATAAATGTGGTTGTGGCCACTTTATTTTTAAAAAGGCCATAGCTGGAGGAGGTAGTACTGTAGGGATAATCATGCCCACCTGTTACGTAGTAGAACACTCCCCAGGAAGTGAGAGGCCCAGGTTGTGTCCTACTTAACCTGATACTGTTCAAATGCACATCTTCCACCTTCCTGGAGAGTGCCCTAGTCACCAGGTTATGGGTTCATTTGGGTGGGGGGGTTATTAGACACTACATAAAACATTTTACACACAACAGTCTTCTCAGAACTACACTCCCCACCTCAGAGATTAGAGAGTCTTGACGTAAAGAAAAAAATCTTGGCAAGATCTGGATCATGCTGTAGTACCTATGTATTTTTGAATGGTGACTGATTCCTTTTTTTTTTTTTTTAAGATGACTTTTGCAGAGAAGTCACCCATGCAATGGGATGGCAGCCTTCATTCTGGTTTTAGTGAGGGCAACGTAACCTGGCTACCTGTTAATCCAGACTATCAAAATGTAAATGTTGAAGTAAGTATTCAAGATATGGACATAACCCAATGAATTCCAAAAGGGGTCATTTCAATAAATTCATCTAGTTTGTTATCTTATGTATTTTGCTTAGTGGGATTTGGCTAATTTTAACTAATTTGAATCTAAACCCAAAGATTTATAAATCCAGAACAAATTGTATATGAAAGAAACCTTACTGCAAGAAGTCCTTCGTATCTATAGCCATTTTCATCAGAACAGTGATGTCAGAGATATTTTTCTTCTAATTTACTTATTCTCTCACCAGTTAGCTGAATCGCTCCACTTTTAAATTTAGATGAATATAAGAGTGCTTTTACATTTAGTCTTAAAACAACACAGATGTATTTATGGCTTTGCATAAGTTGGTTTGTCTAAGGAAAGCTGTGGTAACAACCTTTATGTGAAGTGGATCAAGCAAAAAATATTGTTGATTCACAATAGTGAACAGTAGTGAGGAAAAGGCACTAGAAATTAAGCCTTTGTGGGGTTAATCTGCACTAGTGAAGTCAACTGGAGATTTGTCTTTCAAATCAATGGCAACAAGATCAAGTCTTTGATTCTGTCATTTGAAAGCTATGATTTCATGGTATGTTAGCAGGTTTGGGAGCAAGGGCAGTTACAGGAGGGAAGAAATCTACCATGGATGGTAGAGTGACAAGGAAGGAATGGATAAAAGGGATGCATCCAGATGAGCAGGAACATGTGTTTCCCTGGGGACAAGTAACAGCAGCTCACCTTGTGCACATGCTACTTGTCCCCAGGTAATACCTGTACCTTGTGCTCTGGTGTGTGGCAGGTTACCCTGGTGGGGTAGGGAACCAGCAGCCTTACCTGGAGTCCTGGGGGGCCTCTGGGAGCTGCAGCAGGAAGCCTGGTTGGCAGCTGGAGTATGGCTCTGTTCAGCCAGGCTCCAGTTTGAGTGGTGCATGCTGCTGTCATGTGTGCCATCCAGTTTTTTTCTGGTGTGGGCTTTTTTGACCATGGGATCTCCTGGGGTCAACATTCCTCCTCCCCCCCATCCCACAGAACACCTGCATGTGCAGTGTGTGGCGTCACAGATGGGTGTGTCGTGCCACATACCGCACATCTGCACTCGTCTGGACATGCTCAAGAGCAGATCAGTACGGGAAGGTTGTCAAAAGGAAGGAATATATACGGCTTCACCTGCAATCCATGGAGGGATATGAGAGGGGAGCAGGGAGGCCGTGAAAAGACGACAGGTGAAGAGGATAATCTTAGTAGTGGTATTTTAAATGATGTGTAGGGGTGATGTGGCAAGAACTTCAGTAGTTTAAAGCAACGTTTTTGGTTTCTAGTGAGGAAGAAATGATTGTGCTAATACTGACAATTTTGTTACAGATTCAAAGGACTCAGCACAATTCAACATTGAATTTGTATCGAGAGCTAACTCTACTTCATAACAATGAGTTGCCCATTCAGAGGGGATGGATGTGCTATGTCTGGAATGACAGTAATGTCTTTGCATATGTGAGGGAATTAGATGGCTTAGACAGAGTCTTTATGATGGTTCTCAATTTTGGATGGGAGTCAACAACAGACCTAAAAACTGTGGTTCCTGACCTTCCAACTGAAGCTACTATAAGATTAAGCACAAATTTTAGCAATAATGGTAAAGTTGTAAATACTAAAACAATTAAAACTGCTAAGGGTGAAGGGCTGATCCTTGAATACAAAACTAGCCAGCCAGTTCATACTATGGAGGCTTTCCAACTGAAGTGTTTTGTGGCAGAAAAAGCATGTTATTCTAGTGCCTTTGATTTACTCTATATGAATTGCTAAGTTTTTGGACATGTGTGATACAACAGAACGTATGTTATTTGAGGTAAATGCTGTGAACAGAGAGTTTGTTGCAGTTTTTCCAAGTTGCTGCATTGTGTATAAAATGTCTAGAAACCCATAAAATAAACTAATGTGGTTTTAACTGTATGGCCTCTGCACTGGTATGAAAGTAGTTACGGTGGAGGCAAGGGCTTGATGAAGCTTGGTGTGATGACTCCTCTCCCAGGAGAAACCACAAGTGTACAGATATTTCCTTTTCCTCCCAGGGTAAAAATGGCTTTTCTCCCAGGATAAAAATAACTTGGGAACAACCAGGGTTAAATCACTCCCAGGAGAGTTTCTCCTGGGATAGCAAATGTCTGTATATGCCATGGCTTCTCTCAGAAGAGAATATAGTCCTCCAGCCTCCCCCACAGAAGACAGTGTGCTGATTGCTAGACTGCTGCTCCAGACCATTTTCCTTTTGCAATCCCCACATTAGGCTGCAGGGAAGCACAGGCTGACCATAGGCAGTCCAAGTCAGCTAATTAGGGCTGCCCTATGGACTGCTGTGATGGGTGGCCAGGGAGTCTTTCCTGGTTGCACACTGTCAGTACTTCAGCCTCTCTGCTCTTTGGGGCCTCAGCATTCAAATGTCTGTACATGCATTTCTGGGTAAGTTTCTCTACCCAGAGAAATGTTGGAGAATTCTCCCAGATTATTTGAATGTGTGTATGCAGCATGAACTATCTCAGGAACTGGAAGTCTAGCTCTTTGCAGTATTGCAAATCAGCCTGATCTGAGTTCTGTGCTATTATAGCTAGATTGATTTTGGTACATTACATTGTTTCTGAAGTTACTGTAGACTACAGGCCAAACATACATAAAGCATTGGCTCTCGCTTTTGGTCAATATACCATTATCTACCCTCATCATTTCTTGTGGACCACCTTCCTCTCACTTCTCCAATTAAAGGAGAGGAAGGGTGATGTGATCTGGGGATCACTTACCATTATATAGGAACTACTGTCTGCAGTATTAAATCTATAAGACAGGGATAGGTAATAGGGGTGTGCAAAGTGTGGACCCTATTCGATTCAGATTTGGCCTGAATCAGGGACAGTGATTTGACTGATTCAGATCACTGCCTCTGATTTCATTCGGCTGAATCTGAAGATTTGATGCTGATTCGGACATAGACGCAGCTTTAAAATTTTTTTCTATATACCTTGAGGTAGCAGGCACTGCTCATGATTGTTGTGATGCTGGGGCACATGGAGTGTTCCAAAGGAGCGTACACATGCTTGGCAGTGAACTGGAAATCCAGTTCTGGGTCTGCCGGGGAGTGCGCTGGGGGGCCTCCCTGGCTCAGTGATTAGCAGCAGGGAGACCAGGGTGTACCCCCTAGACCCAGGAGGCACCAGTCACTGAGTGGGGTGGGGGGAAGCAGGTGTGGGGGGGCTCCCTGCCAGACCCGAAAGTGGACCAGAACTGCTTCTGGTCCACTTCCAGGTCTGCTGCTGAGCGTGCTGGAGAGCCCCTGCAGTTCTGTGGGACACTCCATGTGTCCTAGCATTGCAGCATTCATGAGCCGCTTGCTACCCTAGAGGTATGTAGAAAAAATATTTGAAGTTCTGTCTATGTCCGAATCTCTGAATCTTTCCAAATCGATTTAGAGGGTTCTGATTCGATTTGGAGAGACTAAAGGGTCCTCTGGTTCGATTCGGATTTGACGATTTCGCCACCAAATCGGGCCGAATCTCTGCCAAACTGAATCAGGGACCGAAGCTTTGCACAGCCCTAGTAGGTAACCCCCAGCACGCGTGCCAGAGCATGCCACATGAAGGGGAGACTGGGGAATGGGCTAGGGCTGTGCTACCACAACAAGGATCAGGCCCCTTACTGTCTGCCCCCAGCGTGAAGCTCCCTGCTGTCTGCCTCCCGCACGCCAGTATCTTATAAGTCTTTGTGGGTATTTTTGGTACTCTGCCCAAAAGTGCTGCCAAACCCTGCTTTAAGATTTCCTGTTGTGCTGTGGTCATGCATTGGCCACTTCTGTGGGCTGTACTTGTCTGCCACAACTGAGGCCCAAGTCCTATGACAGTTCATGATAAATAAAACTTGTTTTGTATGAAGATGTTTCTGATTTGTGGCACGTAGTCTAAAAGAGCAGTGGATTATCTGAAATAGCTAGAAGCAAAGATGTTATTAGCACAATTAAAATATTTTAATTACACAGCAGCAGGAAAGTTTCAGAAAAGAGTAAGACAGTTATTTAGTAGTCCTGGATGAGTTCATGTGCTGGTATCAGGTAAGAGAAACTTACTGACCGTCACATAATTGTGCACCAAAGATTTTTACCAAGGGATCCATCTTCTCCTACATAATTGGGATGCAGCTGTATTAATCAGTCATCTTGATTCTTTGTTTGCAAAAGCAACAGGTATTACAAGGAGTTGCTTATTTCATTCAGCAGCAGAGGATTTTACCACTTGCAGTTGCTGTGTATATGTAAGTGAATAACCCACAAAACTCTGCCTTCTACAAATTCCTGATTGTACACTGAAAGCAGGGACCTGAAAGTGGGACAGTATTGTAGCTGGTAGCTTTTCCAAAGTGAGTGATCCATTTTTAAATTGCATATGCATGATGTAGTTTTTTTTCAGCTGTCCAATAAGCTCATGGATGTATATGTCTACTACTTTAGCATTTGCTGCAATATATAAAAATAACTGCATAATAAATAAACCACTGCAAGTTACTTTCCCTCAAGTTTGAGTTCTCTATGCAGAAAAGCAAGGTGTCCTGCAACCTAAAAGAAGAATAAAAATTATTTATTAAAAGAAGAAAAAGACTTCCCGAATTCTACAAAACCTTCAGCTTTCTGGTTCTCATCAGACACAGCTTACACTAAATACTGCTCTGCAACAAATATAAGAAGTAATGGGAGATTTTCCTGCTCTATTTTTTTTGGAAAAAAGCAGCTTCAGAAATGGATGTTTCACTGAATTGAAATAAACTTCCCAGTAATAAAACAGTGCTATTAGACACAAAACAGTTTGAGTCCAGAGGAATAGCAGTAACTGTATAGCAGGCATCACAGTTTTTCCAACATTTGTTTTCTGTACACTATGCACACTGGCCATGTACCGTCATTACATTTCTATTGGGAGAACTGCTGCTCTCCTGATAGAAACCACAAGCATACAGGTGCTTATCAAGTTTCTGCTATGGGAAAAATGCCTCCTGCGGGATGAATTTATCCTGCAGGAGAGTTTCTTCTGCACAGAAGAACGTCTATATGCTATCCCACTGCTTACCACTTCCTAGTCCCAGGGGCTAGTGGTGAGATGGACATTCAAAAAGCCTGAATTGATTCAACCTTTGTAGGTTAATTTAACCTGGATAGGCTGAACCGGTTTCCAACCATACAGACAATCCATCTGGACTGAGGAAATTGAGGCACATGCCTGCAGCGGCTCAGGCTTGAAGCCAGGGGGTGCTAAAGCAGCCCTGCCTTCCCTTGCAGAGCTGAGCTGATGGGGTGTGGCCAGGTCCCAGCAGGAGGCTCTGATTAGGGAGGGCAGCCCCCAGCCTGCCTGCAGTCCCAGGCTTTGCCCGGCTTGCTGCTCTACAGGTGGGAGTGTTGCCAGCCCACAGCTAGCACTAAGCCAAAATGGGTATGTGCAGTGCATGCATCTGTTGATGATCTAGAGGTTTTCAATCTCCCTCCCTGCTTCTGTATGCTGTCTGCAGTAAACTGACAGACAAGCAAGCCGGGGGTGGGGGGCTGATAAGTGTCACCCCCTACCTAGTTCAGTGTTTATTGCCCCATTAAGAAAACAGAGGGACATTACCTGTTGATTTAGCATTGACCCAGCATGTGGTCTGCCAGCTACTACACAGATACCTTCTCCGCAAGGTGGCGGGGGGATTCTTGCTTAGCAGGGAGTGGTGAGGGGGAGGGATGGGGGGCAAAAAGATCTTAAACAGCGTTTCCAAGGAAGGACATTAAGCTACCTGTTGAATAGCTCCAAAAAGCCTGTCTGCCTCTGTCATTTCCCACGCCGCAGACTGTAACAAGCATGTGGTCTCCTAGCTAATGCTGAGGTGTCTGTGAGGGATGAGGAAATGCCTGAGTGATTAGCCCAGTGGGGGAAGGGGCAAGTGGGGAGCAGAAGCCAGGCAGAGGCTGCCAAGTTCCAGCAAAGCAGCAGAGAGAAGGGGCCAGCCCTGCTGTGGAGCAGAGAGCCCTGCCCAGCCACAGAGCATGCTGGGGGACTCTGATGCATCTTAAACCAGCAAGGGGTCTGGGACAGACATTGCATAAACTGGCTTGAGCCAAATCATTTAAGTCTGATACTACATTCAACAAGGTTTATCTCAAACCAGTTTCAGCCATTTTCAAACTGGTTTATGTGCACTGAGCATCTGTTCTGTTACAGGTTTAAACCAGTTTACATGTAATGCCTGTCCCTAGCTAGGAGGAGTCAAATGGTGGGGAAAGGCTCCCTATGCCTTCCCCAGCTTCAGGTCATCCCAGTCTGGAGAAAGTGCGGTTCCTGCTCCTCCTGTAGACTGAGTGGGGAAGATAGGAGCAGCTGTCCAGTGCTCCTCACCCGTTCCCCAGATCAGGGTTCTGGGGCAGGGGAGCAGGTGGGGGTTTGCCCATTCCTTCCCATGCTCTACTCTTGGATACCGCTCCACCCTGCTTGCTGCTCCCTCCCTCTTCCCTAAACCAAGCACTGCCCTGCTTGGAGAACAGGCTTAGGGCTTTGCCCCATTGCTCCTTCCACTTTCAGTGTCTAGGAGTGGAATGGAGGAGACTACTCCCTGAATGTTCCTCAGATTACCTCAGTATGATAAAGGCATGGAGAGCAAGGGAGAGGAGACAGCTGCAGACTGAACACTGGTATATGCTCCTTCTCCCAGAAAGATTTCCACTAGCAGAAATGATTGTCTGTTCATGGCCATTATTTGTTGGAAATTTAGAATAACAAAATCAATCTTAGATCTGGAATGTTTAGACTACGTATCTTAAAATTTAAGGTTCTAGATGTACTGTTTTTTTCCCTGAAGACAGATGAAAGAAATGAAAGGTTGTTAAAATAAGGAGACATTTTAAAACCTTGCAACTGAACAGAACAATAGAAAAAATTGTACAATCCTACTTGAACTATTTAGGACCTTTTGTTAAAAGGTCTCAAAGGACTCAAACATTAACTAAATCTGGTAGAGACCGAATAGTTCATTACTATCCCCATTTTAGAGATAAGGAAACTACGGTACAATCAAGTTTAAATAACTTCTCTATGGTCATATATTCAGCAGGCTAACAGTACCAGAAAGCCCTCACTTCTGGTCCCTCCCAGCAATCACAGTGGTTCTTGTTCATTCATATTCAAAATGTTAATATACACTTTATTATATGTTTCTGCCCTAATTGTATAGTAGAGGAAACAGACCTCATTTAATGAATCCTCCCAAGATGGAGCACAATGACTACCTCCTGGCTGAACATTTAAGATGATGTTAGGTGCTGGACTTCCTGAAACAAAATCAGTAAGTGGTCAACAAGTATTAAATAAATAACGAGGCAGATTTTTACCCTTTGTCCTGGCAATGATTTCTTAGGGTGATATATTTTATTAGACCAACTATGCATTTGGGATACTCAGCCAAGCTTTTGAATGCAAGGAATTCTTTGATATTTTATTTCCTGGGCAGATTATTTCTGTAGTTCCCCATGCAAGAACATGGAAGATCTCTAGAACTGGACAAACGAACTCAATGTAATGGGTTCTAAATGGATTATTTGCATTAAAAGATTCTGATATCTGTGCAGTTATGAGGAAGCATATATATAAGGTGGGCAGAACTCCCTCTTAAAACCTCTGCCCAGCACAGCTGTGGCAGGCATCTTTGCTGATTTCCTGGACCTTAGCTACCAGCTGTGATGGAGGTATGTAGATGAGGTAGGGAAACTAAAGACCTATACCTAAGAAATAGGAGCTCTCCTAATCAGTAAAATGTGGTGGATTCTGAAACATAACCTAAATATCTATAATCCTAGTCTATCCTACCCATACACTTGGTCCAACAGAAGATACCACCCACAAAATCCTTGTCTTTAAAAGAACAAAAACAACCCCCAAAAACTATTCTCGGAAGGTACTGATTGATTGAGCAATAAGTATATTACACAGAAATTTTTAAATACATCTTTGTTTCAGTAGAAATTTAGTGCATCTCTAGGACTCACAGTAGTAGTGGGTGATTGGCACAACCCCTGGGTACTCGGTTAAAGGTGGCACCAGCAATTCAAGTCAAGGGGCACTTGCTGAGGGGCTGGGCCCTGAATTCAGCATTTTGATATCTTGGTAGCACTGGGATTCAGCAGTACTTGCCCCTGCAATAGTGACACCTTCCCTGGGTTGGGGTGGGATGAGCAGGGAAGGTCACTGGGGTTTGCACCATGGGCGCAAACCCCAGTGACCAGTTATGTCTCTGGAAACTATCATACTTGCAATTTCTAAATGAACAGGAAAAAAGTATATTTTTGTTGAGTTTGCAAAGACAAGGGCCTTAATGTTCTCAATCGCTTAATTATAAATGTTAAAAATAATCAGACTAATTTAATATTTACCAGCTATTTTAAGTCTTATTTTGGATCCAAAAGGTTGGCAGTGCCTTTTAACATGGGACAGTGGGTACAGTGGAAACATTATCACTAGTCATTTTTCAACACATGTTTCAGGCAAGCCTAGTTGAAATAATTCAGGGTGCCTACAAAATGTCAGATATGGTGCTTGACATCCTATAGGCATGCATTTATGGACATTTAATTACGTATGTCTAGTGCTGTGCAATTACATATGACCTTTCTATTTGGGCAAATGTTTGACAGGCCAAGCTAGGGTAGGCTGAAGGATTTCTGTTTCACATTCTGTTCCTTTTGCTTTTATGTTACTTCTGTCTCAAACTGCAAGCCGTCCTGAACCTTTGCCTAGAATATACATCTAATAAAATATTGCTGACTTAGCTAAAACACCAGACATACAGGACATTTTTCATATTACCTTGTTTATATTTACTGCTAGCATGATCCATTACAGCTTTTCTGAGTTTATGAATATATCTTAATACTCCTGTCAGTGGTATTCGTTCATCATTTTCATAAGCTGTGATTAAGACTGAAGGATAATGCTAAGTGAAATGAAAAAAAGATTATATTAACAATATTCTAACAGTTCCACTTCCTGGATATGTTCACAATTTAAAAGCTATACTTTGAATCAGTCTCCATGTACATGATGGTATGTCACACTGGACAAATTATATAGAAGAAATATCTTCTATCTAGTTAATATGGAGTCAGCTTCTTTTCTAAAGCCCTACTTTAGCAGTTCTTTAACTTGAAAAACTAGTTTGATCTGAAAACTACTGGATTTAACACATGAGACTTGCCTGCAAGAGAGAACCAAGGTGTAGCCTCAAACTTTCCTAATATCATTCCCTTTGCTGGGTTTTGCCCTGGGTTAGGAAGCACAGAGGCTGACCAGGCCAGCCCTACACCTGCTAGAGCCTCCCTCCTAATTAAATTCACTTGGGAGGAAGGAAGGGACATCCCTAGCAAGTTTACAGCTGGCCTGGTCAGCCTCTTGCTTCCTAACCCAGGGCAAACCCCAGCAAAGGGAATGATGTTAGGAAAGGTTGAGGCTACTCCCTGGTTCTCTCTTGCAGGCAAAGTCTCATGTGGTAAATCTGGTAGTATTCTTTTTTTAACATAAAAATGATCGAATCCCATGTAATAAGAAATCATATAGACCAGAGTCTATCATTAGTTAAGAAATATAGTATTACTAATGGTTAAGTCAGAGAAAATGAGTTACCCTTCCAAAAATAACAATGCTGTACTTATTGGAACCGTGCGTCCAATGTATTACTTTTTTTCCACAGTGCCAAGTTTTCACAGCGATTACCTTTGAAAATCATCTATTTATGTACCTATCCTCTATATCTGGACAGTCTGGAAAATCTGACAGTGAATAATTTAAAAACTCACACAAAGGAAGAAAGCAGCATTTTTTGTGTTTTGCAGAGTGGTTTCTAGTAGGTATAAGTTAATAGTTTATAGCGTGCCTGTAACAAATAGCTTTACAAGACTGACTGATAGTTTATGGAAAAGTATTCAATTCATTTCAGCAGTCATCTGTGATTGCATACTACAATGCAAAATAGACTGATTCAACAATGGTTTTCCATCATCTTAAATAAGGATTTATCTTTTAAAGAATGCAGATCCAAAGCTTGGGCATTTTTTTAAAAGAATGGGATTTTTCTTTGGTTTAAGGCACTTAAAAGGGTGAATAATTCTTCTGGAAAAACTCTATATTATCCACTATTATTTTACTTATTCATTCTGTGAAGTAGTGTATGCTGTTAAAAAAATAAACAAAAAAATTACATACACACACACACACACCACGCAAAAACAATATAATTGCTTTTTATTACCTGTGGCTTAATATTATGATATGGACAGTAACTCTTAATATACTCCATGCATTTATCATCTGTTAAAGGGTCTCCCCATTCTTCCTGTTCTTCAACTGTGAGTGGGAGATGAGTGTCCAACATTGTATTTAAAACATCCAAGAAAGGGGCCTTAAAAAAAGAAAACAAAAGAAAATCATGTGTATGTGCACACATCCAAACTCTACAACAAGCCTGCACTGTCTTGCATTTAAATTAACCAAACAAAGGGCACTGGATCTTTAAACACTGTTCCCGACTCTACATACTCTTAGAATCCACTAAAGACAAATCTAGGGCCTGATCCAAATCTCAATGAAAAGGCTCCCAATGACTTCAAAGAGCTTTGAATCAAGCCTATAGTTATTCAGACTTTTTCTGTAAGTTAACTATGAAAACAATTGAGAAAAAGATTATTCCAGGTAATTACTTATTATTTCCTTATGCCCACATCCTATATAGCACAGGCTTTTGATTCTACCTCTACTCAAATCCTTAGTCTCATTTTCCTCTAGGTTACTATTAAAATTCCTGTTCCCCTGGTCTGAATTCTTCAGAGTGAATATACCTGATTCTTCCCACATAAAAAATATTGCATTAATCCCCACCCCCCCTTAAATAACTTTCCAATAAGCAGGAAATTGTGAAACAAAATAGAGTGGTAAAACGAAAAGCGCATTGTTTAACCCTGTATTCCATCAGAGATCCACAGCCTCACCTGTAAGACCATAGCTCCAAAGAGTTCTGGGTTAGCATTGCAGAGGGCTCCAGCAAGAACTCCTCCTGCACTGGCACCTGTTAGAGCTGTATACTTTGGCTGGGAAAATCCTACTTCATGCAGCAGCATCATGCAAGCCTTTAGGTCATAGAAACCATTGAGTTTATTATGCTTACATCCATCTCTATGCCAGCCAAGGCCTAACTCTCCTCCACCCCTGAAATTTAAAGCATTCAAGCTGTAAACTGTCTGGGGAATATTATGCAGCCACCTTTCAAACAGTAAAAAGTCAGCAGCCATGATAATGTAACGCAATGTTTTACCATCCTTAATTAACATTTCATCCCCATATAATTGTCTACAACAACCTCCAGTCATCTTCTTAATAGAAATATGTAAGAAAAAGTGTGTGACTGGTAAAATCTCCACAAAATAGCTAGCACATACATGTGCTATCAGTCTCTCACCATGCTCACGTACCATCTACTTAGCGTGAATGTTCCAGAAAGTCATCAAGAAAGTTGTACTTAATTGCAAAAGGCTGCAATCAAAGTACATCAATACTTTAGAATACTGTGTGTGTATATATATATATTTCTTACATGTGCATGTACACAGACCCTGTTACAGAGAAACTGTCAGGTTAAAAACAAACATTTTTCCATACTTGTTTTACATACAGAACCATTAATAAAGAAGAATGAAAAAAATGATTTTGCTTCTATGTTCACTCATGATTTGTTTTTCAGTTTGAGTTATGACACTTGACTAGTAAATTTCACTTTCTGGATCTTATATATTTATGCAACACTCAAGTATAGATTGCAAACATGTCAGAGAAATGATAAATTCCATTTTAAATCACTTGCACGAAGATATTTTTAGTCTATTGTAGGAAGTATCTTCAAAATCTTTTTCACTAAACAAGTATTTTGAGTGTAGTAGCTGACTACTTTAAATGTTAGAATAATTTTATGAGAAGCCTAAATAAAACCTTAGTGGATTAGATTGTCAGATTCTTTATCTGCTATGTTGTCACTGTAAAATAGGACTGGACTAAATTGTAAAATGCTAATGAAAAAATACCATTTATGAATATATGTACTATGACATAATGCCAGAGTGTAAAAATATTTGTAGACTTGAACTGAATTTGCATTAAAATTGATGTTACAAGCAATATATAGTATTTAAACTAATCTAATCTAATTTGAGCAATATTTTTCCAATAAAGGAACATATATGAAAAGCCTGTTTTTTCTGAATTATTTCTGATCAAATGAATAAAAAAGGTTTTTAAGAAACACGGCTGCAATTTAGGGCTGATTAAATCCACATGTTGTGCACACATCCTGCTGGCTTACCTGCCTCTCCGGCAGGGAGGGGAGGGCAAGTTGCCAATGGGCAGAGCAGTCCCTGGGCTGTGGGGGGTGGTGCTTCCCTCCACGGCAGGGGCGCCTTTCCTCCCCAGGCAGCACCCGCCTGCAAGTGGTCCCGGGGGAGGGGGGGCACCGCAGTTGCAGCGGGAAGCACTGGGCCTCTGTGCAGTTCAGGCAGGTTTCATAGGGAGGAAAAAAAAGAAAAAAGATCAGGCTCACTGCTTTTCTTGGGTGGAACCTTCCTTCCCGGGCTGCTGTCAGGCTGCCTGCAGGGCTTCCTGTAGAGCTGTGCAGCTGCACGAAGCCCGGTGCTTCCCTCTGCGGCTGTAGGAGCAGTAAACTAAACCTTGTTGGAGAAATTTTGGTTTGCTGCGCCCCAAGTCATTTAAGGTGCATTATGCATTTAAGGCACATTAAACACCGACACCATTAAAGCAGTGCAAAAGCATTTAGCCCACTTTAAAGTGTTGTACACACATACCTCTCATTTTGTTTATACACGGCCTCTAAGAAAGCAAGTAGGCCCTCCCCCTCACTAGATACAGGTCAAATAGTAGTGCATCTTATCAGACTAAGAGCAACAGGATGATGGTAAAACATTTCATTT